AGTACCTGAATAGAATTCGGATTGTTTCGGTTTTTAGTACCTGAACAAATGAAAAATAACTAAAAATAACTCGAAACATTTTGTATATATATGCATGCTTTGGGTATTCGGTTTAGTTCGGGCATAATCGAACCCGAAGTACTCGGAGGACAAATACCAGTTGGGTATGCATTTCGGGTCGATATTGGATACGGGTTCGGTTTTCATATACATATTATATGCACAGGACTAGCTTTGGTAAACCGACCATGTCAAGTACTGGAATTATTCGAATGGAACCGGATTTCATGTACACTTTTCCCAAAACATTATCTAAAAAACTATCGAAAAAGAGTTTTATCTTCTAAAAAATTCTATGACGTTATACTCATAACGAAATAATAAAACTGACCGATAGTCGTAGTGTACTAGAAGGTGAAATAAATTTAGTTTTAGCCCGGATAAAAAAATAAATAATATTAAAAATTTTGGGAGACGAGTGCGATGGAGAAGATTAGTCCCGTGCACAGACTTTTGTAAGGGATGAATGGAAAAGAAAAGGTCGAAGCTATCTATCTAGTGTGATATGTTTTGTGTGTGATATCTCGCATTGTTTCCACTTTGTCTTTCAAGTGTATTGATAAGAAATACTTTACTCAGATCTTGGGATCGAGTTGTAGTGTACTTCGATCGGGCCAATCTATTCATAAGACTAGAAAGATTGACTGCAATGTGCTTTTGACGGGTACGTGAATGAAAGAACGATTGTTTAGGTATATACCTCTTCGTATGGATGTATTTAATGCATTGTTAGTTTTGTATGGTTTGAACAATGAACATGTTTGCCTGGCGTCTGCAATAATCGCGTTTAAGCTTTGGCTTTTGCGTTCGCGTTTTGCCAAACGCTTGTCATCAACAGCTACGTTTTCCACGTGAACGCCTCGGAAGCCCATTAGACAGCATAGTGGCCCACAATAAAAGGAAGCATCATTAACCGTCCATCTTAATGAAAAAGACCTACACTCGTCTGCTTTCGCACGCTTACACGTGTTCAATATTCCCCACTTGCATCCTTACACGTACCTATATTCCATTCCACACGTGTACAACATTCCCCTTCTCTCTCTCCGTTATTTCATCTCATCAACGGCGACACAAACAATCCTTTTTCGATCTTCCCTCTCTCGATTACAGATTCTGTATCGTCTCTTTCGATCTGATCGCATACGAATCTCACATCTGCAAATTCCGGCGAAGTTTTGTCGAAGAGGTTTTGATTCCCTGGTATGAATTTTCCCCTAATTTCGTTACCTTCGAAGCATAACAGCGAAATATGTCGGATTCAATCCAGGAGAGGTACGTAGTTGGATACGCACTCGCAGCGAAGAAAGAGCAAAGTTTCATACAACCTTCTTTGATCGAACACTCAAGGAAACGAGGCATTGATCTGGTCAAGCTCGATCCGACGAAATCGTTGTTGGAGCAAGGTAAGCTTGATTGCATAATCCACAAGCTTTACGATGTTGATTGGAAAGAGAATCTCCATGAATTTCGCAACAAATCTCCCGGTGTCCCTGTCGTCGATTTGCCTGAAGCTATCGAGCGATTGCACAATAGGGTTTCGATGCTCGAGGTGATTACTCAATTGACGTTTCCTGTATCGGAGAGCGAAAGATTCGGTGTTCCGGAGCAAGTCGTTGTTATGGATTCAGGGGTTTTGAGCGGCGGAGAAGCTTTAGGGGAGCTTAAGTTTCCGGTGATCGCTAAGCCTTTGGACGCAGATGGGAGTGCGAAATCTCACAAGATGTTTCTGATATACGATCAAGAAGGTATGAAGATATTGAAAGCTCCGATTGTGTTGCAGGAGTTTGTGAATCATGGTGGTGTGATCTTTAAGGTCTATGTGGTTGGAGATCATGTGAAATGTGTTAAGAGAAGATCTTTACCTGATATCTCTGAAGAGAAGATCGGAACATCGAAAGGTTCACGTCCGTTTTCGCAGATATCGAATCTTACAGGTCAAGAAGACAAGAACAAAGAGTATGGAGAGGATAGGAGCTTAGAGAAAGTGGAGATGCCTCCATTGAGTTTCTTGAAAGATCTAGCAATGGCGATGAGGAAATCAATGGGTCTCAATCTCTTTAACTTCGACGTGATTAGGGATGCAAGAGATGCTAATAGGTACCTTATAATTGATATTAACTACTTTCCTGGATATGCTAAGATGCCTTCTTACGAGCCTGTATTGACGGAGTTCTTCTGGGACATGGTCACAAAGAAGAATCATGTCTGAGAAAGAAAAAAAACTTTGTGCCGAAGTTTGAATCTTTGTTAGCAGGAACATTCTTGTGGGAGGAGGATTTGTGCCCATTGCAATGTGTTGTGCAATTGCATTGCAAATGCCATTGCAAGCATCTCAATTGGTTTATGGCCTATGGTGACTCTAGCTGCTCTGCTAATTTTCGTTTGGATTCTTGAACTTGTGCTTCTTCTTCTTTTTTTTTTCATTATTTCTTAGTTGTTTTTTGCTCGTTTTTACTTCCAAGTTTTGCAAAGCCTTGTTCGAATGCATAACTGTTGCGACTCTTTGAAAAGCATTGGATTTCTAAATTCTTGGCCATTTGCTCTCTTCTTTACTGTTGGTAGTAGTCTAGATTGTGATTTATCCGTCAAGAATGCGATAGTTAACTGATTAAACGTTTTACATTTTTCGCCAATGCGAGGTGTATCTTTGTAAGGAGAAGTTAATTGTTAACTTTCCCTTACATTGCTTTGCCATTCTTTTTATATTAGACTGTTAAAGGAAACCGATGCTAAGCCCTTTGTATCGGTCTTCCCTATAAACAAGAGACATGGGGAGATGGCTTGAAAGATATCTCGAGTTACTTGTATGTGCGTCCTATGCCCTCTTGTTTCTTTGCATGCTTGTTGCAAAATCCATGCCAAATCTAAGGTACTTGTTTTGAGATCACGTTGAGTAAGATAAGGTATGTGATTGGAGCAAACTTGATGCATTGTCACTTACGGATTTTAACATCCTGAGAAAATGTTTAGGTGGCTCAAATCAATCTTTCTCACATGTTTGTGTTTCTCATTGAAAGAGAATCTTGATGATCATGTCCTGACTATAGAGGTCTCTGGTACTTGAATGGTTGATTTTGATAATCCAGGAGTTGAAACCACTGATTTAGCTTATCCAGCATCTTATACTCTGATTTGATGTGTGCATACGATGCATATTCCCCACACGCATATATATATGTATGTGTATTCATATTGGGATTGGCATTTATGCTTTAGCAACTTGGATGAAGCTGTAAGATGATTCTGGATAAATGTGACGCTCTTAATAAATCTCCATTTTAGAATAAAGTAAAGCTTGATTATATGTGTAGAGATAGATACAATGTTATCTGAATGTTAATTTTGTCGTCTTAATTGATGGAATAAGCAAGTGAGTGATTTGCTTCGTCCGAATATTTATGGAGTAAACTTGTTATTGTTATGGCCGAAGTATATTTACTGTTGAACCTTTCTAAAAAAAAAAAAGTATATTTGATGGTTTAGGGTCGACCCACTTTGGACCTCTTCGTTTATCCACCTCAAAAAGTTTAGTTCTTCGATAATCCACCTAAACTATATACTTATTTGAAATTGCCCATAATAAATTAAAACTTTGATTGCGTTTACTAAACCATTAATCGCGTTTGGACAACCCATAATCGAATCCAACAGAAAAAATAACAGAGATCAAACATGGGTCCATGTTCTTCTTATTATTTTCGAAATCTCATAAACGGTGCCTTTGAATCTCTACCTAGATCTTCCCTAAAATTTAGAGCAACTCTAAACTTTGGATCTCTTCATTTGTGTTGGATCAGAACTTCATATTATGAGTTACTGTCTCCAATAGATACATTAGTTTTCTTAAACACAAAGAATTTATCTAACCATTTCTGTTTGACCAATCGAATTATTTTTTTTTTGAAAAATCTGATGAATGAATTATTGGATGGTTACACTCGAATGATAGAAAATTCATATATATATATGGTTATAAATAAAATTATTAAAGAAAAAAGTCGTCAAGTTTTGTGCTCCCAATAGTATATATATGAAAGAAAAAATTTAGATATCCAATGATAACTGTTAATAACAAAATGAATATTAATGTATGATTATTTCTTATAGAGTTGTGTATAATTTAGGGACCGAAAACTAAGATCAATTAATGAGAGAAAATTAATTATGATTAGTTTTTAACATATGTAGACATGTAGTCGACAAAATCTACCTTCGGGAAAGCCCATGAGCTTTTTGGTTCCTGCATGGAACTTCAAGACCCTCACGGTTATTGAAAGCTTTTTCGCTTTGTAATATTTTATAGACTTGCTCAAAAAAGTCTGTATAGTCCTTCTCAATTTGACTTCTACGTACGGTAACCGACTTTGAGAAGGTAAAATCAAAGACTTTTAACTAGGTTTCTATGACATGGAAGTCTTCGTTTTAAACCAACTCTTTTTTATCTTCACTTTTATTCCAAACCTAAAAGCACACGCGGAAGGTGAAATGGGCTACGTATAACGTATTTTGACTCTCTACTTAATCTTATACTAATCCACTGCATTTACATTGTGTGTATATGTCAAATTAGTTGTTCTATATGTACCACTCGTCGAATTGAAAACTATATGTTCTATAAAGTTGACGCACCACTTTGCTAACTAATTCAATTACTATAAACTTTAGGTATCTAATTAATTCTATTTGTGTAAATGGATGCTAAGGTATATAACGTGCAAATCGTTGCAGTTTGGTCTTTATCCAAGATGTTAGGTTTGACTCATACACAAGAAGATAATATATACTGAATTATCACTTTATCAGAAACCGGTCATATATGTAAATACGAAGAATTTTACTTCATTCTGCAATGTGACGTGTACAATTTACTTTCCGGTGTTGCTTTGTGCGTTTTGGAGAAACTCAAAGTACTTCAGCAAATTTTGTCCTTTAATAGTTTTGAGCCATGTCAATTTAACATTATAGAGAATTGAATTCTTCATTGTTTCTATTGGGATATCAATTCAAGTCCCATATCGGAGGTTTAGATAAGAATTATCTAATTTATAAGAGATGTCCAACTCTAATTAGTATGAGGTCTTTTGGGAAGAAATCCAAAGAGAAATCCGTGCGGGCTTTGCCTCTGAGCCCAAAGCGGACAATATCATACTAATGACGGAGTTGGACATAGGCTTAGAAAAGCCCCACAATTGGTATCAGAGCCAAAGTTCAAAAAGGTGGACTTGGAGAAGTGGGTTTGGGCTGCAAGTTCGTTGTGGGAGAAGAGCCCTCAAGATGACCTCGCGATTATGGGTGCCGGTGCCTTGTGTTGAAAGTCTTCCTAACTAAGCGGAATGTTAGGCAGCGGGTTCTGTTGGTAATTACGGCGGTACAAGATGGGTGCCAGAGTTCGTTGGAGGTTGGAGACCACGAGATTATGTGGTTCTTGGTTTGAGGGGAGGATTGTTGGGATATCAATTCAAGTCCCACATCGGAAGTTTAGACAAGAATTGTCTAATATATAAGAGATGTTCAACTCTACTTAGTATGAAGCATTTTGGGAAGAAACCCAAAGAGAAATCCGTGCGGGCTTTGCCTCTGAGCCCAAAGCGGACAATATCATACTAATGGGAGAGTTGGACATGGGCTTAGAAAAGTCCCACAATTGGTATCAGAACCAAGGTTCAAAAAAGTGGACTTGGAGAAGTGGGTTGGGCTTGGGTGTTCGATGTGGGAGGAGAGCCCCTAAAAAGGAGACCTCGCGAATAAAGGGTGCAGGGACCTTGTATCGAACGTATTCCTAACGGTGTCCCAAGGGTTAGGTGAAGAACAGGCGATACAAGATGGGTGCCAGGTTTTGCCGGAGGTAGAAGACCACAGGTTTATGTGGTAATTGGTTTGAGGGGAGGATCGTTAGGATATCAATCCAAGTCCCACATCGGAAGTTTAGAAAAAAAATTGTCTAATATATAAGAGATGTTCAACTCTACTTAGTATGAAGTCTTTTGGGAAGAAACTCAAAGAGAAATCCGTGCAAACTTTGCCTCTGAACCCAAAACGGACAATATCATACTAATGGGAGAGTTGGATATGGGCTTTGAAAAACCCCACACTTTCTTTGGGAGGTTTGTGTTTGCATTTATATGTTATAATATTGAAATTATTATATAGATACACAAGACGTTAAACGCAGACAAACAATCAAAACTCGATTAATTACGTACCAGTGATTCTATTTTTTCTTTTTTGTTCAAGGTCACCAGAAAACATTTGCTTCTCTCCCAAAATAGAATCGAATTAAAGGATTCAAAATACACAACTTTAAGAAGGTTTGACGACTCGCCATTTTTGCATTATATATGATAATTTCTATAGAAGATTTTTTTCCATTTTTGATATGAAAAAAAAAAAAAAATTTGAGCTGTTTATAATCATTGACTCGATAAAATTCTGGACTAAAATTTCATTATTATTTTGGTTAACAGAAATCAATGAGTGTTATATATGAGGGATTTTTTTCAAAGAGATTCGTGCATAAATATTTGTGAATAAAATAACCGAAATGTATCCAATCAGAAATTATGTCCTAAAGCCTAGAGGTAAAGACGAGCCTATAAGTGTGTTTGGTTAGAAGAAGATCAACTGTAGAATTGCTGTCTCATTCGGGTTAGTTGGAAACTTCTTCCGTACGAATATTTCTTCCTTTTTCTAAATGTTATTATCACTATTACTTAAACTTTTAAATATAGCTTAGATTTTGTTTTTGTAGTAAATGTTTTTGAAAATGTATATCGCTACCGGAAATTTTTGTGTTCAAGTTTCATTTGATGTACTTCTCTTTTTGCAATGTAAGAAAAAAAAATACATGTAATATATGTACCTTTATCAAATTTGTATATTTAATAGAAAGGTACAAAAATTGTAATGTATAATACTACTTTTATTTAACAAAAATTGTAATGTATAATACTAGTACTACTTTAACAAATTTTTGTGTTCAAATATTATCTAGTAAGATTATTCAAAGAATTGGAATAGAATAATATTAATTTATTTCTTGCTTACCATATATTTGAAAAGCATTTGGTTTAAGCCCCAGATATATAGTAATTTTTAAGATCCTAATTTTAGAAAGCTATATAGGTAATTTTTTTTTTTAATTTTCATCCCAAATTCAAAACTAGTTTTATGCTAAGAAAAATGTTTCCTTTTTCTAACTAATTTCCATTCATTTTTTATTGACACTATAACAATCATTGAAACTAAATTATAATTATCGTTAAAAAAATGTAAAGAATGTCTCATTTTTAAATTTGTTTTAAACTCAACAAATCTAGGCACGACACTTAACCTATTGAATAACTTATTTTGATTATAGACGTCCAA